TTGGTCTCAATCCTCGTTCTGTAAAGGTTGCAGAATTATACTCAGCCTGGCTAGAGTCAGGGCCCTACTCTTGGCTTTTAGATGAAACAAAACAAGACGAGACAAATACAATCTTCCCCTTTTAAAAAATGTGTTGTAGAGTAAGACCTTGCAATCTCTGATTTGAATAAATGGGCGAAGGCTGATTAGAATTAGTAAAAAAATGCAAGATTAAAAGATGCCTGGCTAGGTCAGTGGTCTCATGGAAACAGGTGAAGCTAAGAGCCGTCTTGCTTTTGGGCTGCCCGGCACTGCTCTGTGGCACACTGCTTCTCAGTCCCAGCTGTGTGGGGTGCCAGCGTCTGTCTCCTGTCACCCTGGCCATGTGACCGAAGCTCGGTCCATCACCATGGCCCGTTGCTTGCCATGCCGACTGCTCTAGAGGTTGGAATGTTTTTCAGACTTGGCCAGTATGAGTCATACCCAGGATGTTTTCATTTTAGGATCCTGAGAAAAGGTGTTGGGTTTTGGAGTTGGAAAGAAGTAAATCGGACCCACCCAGGTGGTAGCCAAGCAAATAAAGCCAACCAGAGGTAAGAGAGAGTGAGTGCCCGAGAGGAAGCAGAGCTCAGCCGCTTCCTGCTCTACTTCTGGTGAAACACAGAGCCGCCCTTTGCTTTCCAGTATCCCTTCCAGGACGCCCCTTTTTTCCTTACTGCTTAGTTCAAGTCGCAGAAATCCTGGCTAGTGAACGGACACGAATTCCTAATGAACGTGGTATTTGCATGTGAGCGTGCTGCTTCTAACACACTTGATATCTTCCCTTAGATATGTCAGGGCTTCCTGCAGATCACTCTACACAAAGTCTGGACTCCACTCATAAGGAAGAGATGAATTTCCCTTTTGTGAACAAGCATAAACCCCGAATTAACAACATCAAAATTATCCGATCTGTGCATTGTGTTTACCTATTTAAATAGTGTCCATAACCTTGCTTGGGCCTTGGATCCAAGTTATGTATTTTTCTCTCTCTCTACTTTGCAAATCAAATTCATTGGCCTCCTCGATGCCCTTGAAATCAGATTTTGCAGCCCCCTGGCTCTCCTCCAAAAGTCTCGGTGTTTCACAAGCCATCCTTGTTTCCAATTCACCCGTCTTTATCCGCTGTGTAAACTAGGTGGACCTGCGTCCTTAGGCACAGTCGAGCGCATTTGGTTGTTATTAGAGTGAGGATAGCTGACTCACACATGTAAAACATTAGAGAAATCTTACAAATGTTCGAGTGATGTTTTTTTCTGTTGTTGTTTGGGGCCGTGGGGCGCTTAACCACATCCTGCCTTGCACACTCGAGCTCCTCTCTGTATCACCAGGTATCGTTTTAGGCTAATAAAACAAACAAGGACGCTATTTTGATGTTCTTTTCCCAGCATTTTTATTCATTTATTTAAATGTAACATGCTATACACTGTTCAGCTTTTTGGGAGGTAGAAGGAGGGAGGGAATCTATATCATTATGAGGAGTCTCCTCAGAACCAGCACTCAGATGGACACAAGTTTCTGGCTGATGTACTTCGACATTGTGTGTGGGGGCCACAATTCCCACAGAGGCAGAGCTCCCGAAATTGTGATGCTTTTTAAAAAAATATACAATATTCTGGGCTGGAACTGCTTTTCCTTCAGTAGCACAATCCAGCTGGCAAAGGGGACCAGAATTCTCTCTCAGTATCGAGCAAAGATGCCATTTATAAATGCAGGAGAATCTCATTACATGTGATTACCCCCTTATCAAACCTTTTCTGTCTCTCTGCCAGTGTGTGTGTGGGGGGGGGGAGAGGTAAGGGAGATGTTTTCTATTTTTGGCTTCTGCCAGCTTTGATGCATTTTGCTAGAAGCTGTTTTAGTGTTTTGAGTACTCTGATGATGACTGCTTACACAGGCCCTTCGGTAATCTAAACGGCTACGTGAAACACGAATCCAGTTGGTGCCCTATTTGTTGTTACCCTGGTCATCCAATACCGTATTTGTCTGATCAAACATTTAATTCCGGTGGTGGGTGGTCCATCTTCATGTGTCAGGTGCAATTATTATTTTAAAATAAAAGAACCAAGGTAATCTAGTTCTGATGGGAATGTATTACACTATAGCTCTCAGGCTTGGTTACCAATTAAATGTTAACATACAGATTCCAACCACAAAAATGAAACATTTTTAGTATCCCATTTGTCAAAAAGCAAGTTGGAAGCTGGGGAACCATGAAATGCAACGTTAGCCATAAGCCAGTTCACTGCCTCCAATGCATTTCTTTGGAAATCCCAACAGTTTTAAGGAGTGAGAAAAATAAGACCTTTTATAGGATTACTTTATGGGGAAGTTTCTTAATAAAGCTAATTCTTAAATAACAGATTAACTGGAAGTGTGGTTAAGCATTGACACAATTAAGGTGTAAGAGAAGGTCACAGAACACCAGCCTTTCTGGAAGTTAAACTTTAGTCAAAAGACACATTTAGCGAGTCTTTTTCTTGTACCAAAATACCATGTCCAAACAGTAAAATAAGCAGACCTTTTCAAAACAAGAAGTATTGAAGGTAACACCGCAGCATCAACATACTCTTACAGTTACCGCTTGAAACAGTTAGAACAAATATTGTTTCTCTACATTTTTAAAATCACTACAGACACTGCGAATAAGACTTAAGTATTTATTTAGTGGAGTACAATGTGATGTTTCCTTACCTGCTCTAACACAGTGCGTTTCCACACGGGTACACTGTGGAACCTTCCAAAGCTCGTTAAATTTACAGAAAATACATTTCATTTGGTTTTGTGAAGACTAGATCATACAGCTTGAACAGGTCGCGGCACGGGGCTACTCCTATACCAGGATCTATCTGCTCAGAGGAAGCCCCTGGGAGAGCTGCCCTGCGCACCCAACTCCTAGAGCGCTCCTTTGGGGGGGACGCACGATGGGGGGCGTGTAAAGGGTTCTTCTGTACCAAGACGGCCTCTCGGTCGCCTGCCACCGCGACACGTGGCAGCAGATCATTAGGAAAGGAAGAGCGAGGCACGGCTACTAGGGTGTACGGAACAATATTTTCCTTCTTTCAGCATATTCTTGGAGACCCGGTGGTGCGCTGAAAAGAGAACAATTTAGCCTTCTGGTCTGTTTCTGAGGGAAGGAAGCCTTAGCAGTGATACGGGGTGTTTA